TTGGTTTTAGTACTTGAAATCTTTAAAACTTTAAATAATTATCTAATAATGAAATATATTAACATGGAAAGTAACTGATATATTATTGAAGGTGCCAGTTCAAAATGAACATTCATATATCCTTTTGTTGCATATATACGTACTAATGATTTAACAACACTTGTACACTAGTTGTTTACAATAGTAAGTTTATAAAGAATTTATTGGCTCATAACCCTGTTTCTCTCCATTAGTTTTAAATTTATTGAGTCTTATTACAATCTACATTATAATAGCAATGTTAAATCATTATTACGTATATATGCAACAAAAGAATATATACTTTATGTATGTTTACTTTGAACTGGCACCTTCAATAATATATGAGTCATTTTTCATGGTAATATGCACCATTTTATTATCTTTCAATAATAAAATGTATTACGTTAAAATAGACAATTTGGTATAAGAATTCTTTTAAAATTAATATTGATCTTTTGTGATTTATTTTAAAAAAACTGTTATATATATATACTGTTTAATCTCTCACCTAGAACACTATATTTTATTCAAGTTTTTGGAGTGTAAGTTATAAGTAGTTTTCAATCACGTATATCTTCATAAGTATACATTTACAAATTATTATTCTAATTAACCCATTAAGTCCTGAATGTCTTCAATTCTGAATTCATTTTTATCTAGTTTCTTTTCATATTATTTATGCCAAAAAAAAAATCGGACCTATGATACTCGACGTAAAATTTCATGTTCTTTCAGAATATGACCTCAGAATTTGCCTAACACCAATGCTTAAAAAGTTGTATACAATTTATTGCAAAAAAATGTCATTTTTTTGACTAAATAAAATTTTAGATCTAAAATTTCTATATGATACCGGCAATATACACATCCTTTACCACATAGAAAAGCGTTTTCGAGTCCTAAATTTTAAAATATGTATGGTCCGAAAAAAAAATTTAACCTGGCGGTCCTCAAAATGGCGTCCGAAACAAATTTTGTTTTGAAAATGTTTAGGGCACTCTAACTCGAAAACTATGAACTTTTTCGAAAAAATGAGAAGTATGAAAAGTTATCAGAATTCATCGAGGAATACATTAGAATTTTTTCTAATTTGTCGGTGACATTTTTGAAAATTTTTTTATTCCAATTTTTTGAAAATTTTCTAGAGTTTACGAAAAATTCTGAAAAAATTCTGAAACATTTCTTGACGCATTCTAAGTATCTTTTGTGCTTTATCATTTTCTCCAGAAGTCGATAGTTTTCGAGGAAGAAAATGCTGAACACTATACCATACATGTGTATGACCACTATACCACATAGTGTTCAGCATTTTCTTCC